GGTTTGGCTTGGCTGGGCTGGGCTGCTCTGCTCTGGTGTGAACCCCGAATGGTGCTGTACCTCAGCGGTCAAAGCAGCAGCAGGAAGATGGTCTGGATGGCATCAGGAAGGCATCTTTACATCTCTTAAGGCTAAGTCATATTTGCCTTTGTCCTCCTCCTACCTGAAAGGGCACTTGGTACTGGTGACCTTGTGCAATGGGTATATCAGTCCTAGAGAATCCTTCTGGAACCATTGCTGGAGCTAGATCAGGCATAATCCAAAGGCCTGAGCCAGAAAGTTCAGGGAAAAACCTGCCAGTTGCTAAGGAAGCCCTTAGCACTATGAGCAAAGCTGCTGTTAACATTCCTGTTCTCACACCACAGCTTCACATGGAGTTTGTCTGCAGTAATAGCTCTCCAAGCGCTTCAGCTGACATTTGCAGCCCTGCTTGTTCTCCAGCCCAAAAGGTTTCTGTCAGTGCATTTTAGTGAGTTTCTCTCTCTGGTTATATCCAGTGCAATGTCTGTTCAGAGGTGACCTACTTGAGTAGTGAATGTCATAAGAATTAAGGACACTTGGCGGAACACTTGCTACTGCCTTAAGAGCTCTGTATTTAAAACCAAATGATCACACAGGTTTGCTTCCATGCAGCAGGCTTTGGCATGCATCACACAGTTACACAAGGCCTTTGCAAGTCTCTACTAGTTGATAGCTTTTAATTATTTTCCCCCTAAAGATGTAGGTAGCTTATCTGCTACCTACATAACATGGTATGATTGGAGTCCTGGCATTTCTGTCTTGTGAACACCAGCATGGGAAGCCTTGTGTAAAGGCTGAAGTAGAGGGCCTGGTGTGACACCAGATCAGGGTGCTACTTGTTTAGGGCACCATATGCAGAGTAGAAGCCTATGAAGCACTGCACTCAACGTCTCCAGCACCAGAACATCACAGTTGGTGCTAGGAGCCTGGGCGCAGTCGAAGGATAGGTTGTGTGTGCTGGGAAAGGCCTTTAGATTTCCAGTAAAAAACCTCCACACTTAACATGTTGGTGACAGGGACAGAGTTAAACAGATTTGGGCAATATGAAATGTATCCATTTCCTACTACCTCCATTGGAAAACAAAGCATGAGACTTCTCATCCCAGTTATTGCAGACTCAGACCCATAGTAGTGCTATTCATGAACTCAATGTTTCTTCTCACTCAGGCTTATGTGGGAGAAGGAAGGTAATGAAGCAGATAAACTATCTTTTGGGGAATGTCCTTGGCTACAGTTTTAAGAGAACCCCAAGAATTCTGTAGTTAAGAACATGAGCCACACAGTCATTTTGCTTTCAGTTGTGGTTGGTTCCTGGTGGTAATGCTCAGACACATCCATCACCCCATTCTTCACTTCTCAGTTATGATTTAATCTTTAACCTTTGTATCTATTGTTTAAAACCAGGCCATGCTAGTAATAAGGAAAACTGAAGATACAAATTTGGTCTGGAAATGTTTGTGCAAAGCAGAGTGAGGTTTATATTATTTCCTGAATAGGGGAGAAAAGGGTCTTTACATTTCCATTTAAACCCAAATTCTTCCTCCCTGCCTTGACTCTCTTCCTGTGGTGGTTGTACTGTAACGTAAGGTGAGCTGAGAAAGGGCTGAGTTTAGAGATTTGAATCCTCAAGTCAGATATTCCTGTTACTCAGTTTTATAGTCAATAGATGGTGCTCAAAAATAGAAAATCTCCCACCAGCTGCTGTCACTACAAGCAAATTACCAACTATTTGCTTTAACTGGGTTAATTCAAAGTGGGGAAAAAAGAACAGAAGAGGGTGAAAGGCCTGTCACAACTTCTGCTGGTGACAGGCAATTTGGGGTGCCTGTATTTGCAGGAACAGAGCTTGAGACTTCTTAAGAGGAAAAAAAGGCACCTAACTTTCAAAGTGTGCACCCCAAAAGGCCCAGAAAACCAGATTCCCTGAAGATGGAGGGGTACCATTGCAAGAATGGCTACCCATGTTTGTAAACCAGCTTCTTGTTTGTTTTGGAGTATATTGTGATCTCTGCTAATTTAAAATGAGGTGCACTGCCAAATGTGGCTGCTCTAAACCCTTATTAGGCAGCTCTACCCTTACAGTTAAAAGGGGGTTGGATGTCTCCTTATAAAAGCTAACAAAGCCTTGCTGTGTGTTTGCCTGCTGTGTGACTCCCCACATCATGCTGGTGCTGCAGCATGGCATTCCCAGTCACCTCCCATCAGTAGCAAGCTGTGGCATGGCTGCTAAATGCCCTGCAGAGCAGAGAGGAGTCCCCTTGATGCCCTTGTTCAGAGTATGGAGGCTCTGGCTCCACACCTGGTAAATCAGCACAAAGAGCCCCAGGACAGGATCATTCTCTGAATCTCAATCAAAAGCTCAGTTTTAAGTGCTCCCTGGCTCCAAAGGTTTGCTGGAAGTGGTGCTGTGCCTTTTCTCATGCTGAGACTTTGGTGCTTGAATGGAAGGATTCAGGTTTAAGTAATGCTAATTAAGGGACTGGGCTAAGACTCTGCCACATCTCCTGGGAAATCACTTGTAAGAAGACATTGTTTCCCTTCACTGCCTGAGCTCCCAAAGGGTGAAAAAGGATAACCCAGGCTGGCTGGCTGGGATCCTGGGAGGTTGTCCAGTCCCTGCCCTGCTCAAAGGCAGGGTGTAAAGCACCATGGTTGTTCCTCATGCTTTCTCAAAGAGCCCAGCACTGGAGGTGCCACAGTCTGCCTGGGCAGCCCTTTACCATTGTGGGGTCTCAGGTGAGAGGAGGATCATGGATAGGGGGGATGTGGGTTTCTGCATCACCTTGCAGCCATAGCTTTGTGGCTGGGTAGGGTCCCCTGCTGAAGGGGGAGTGATCCATTCACTCCTGCAGCAGCTCTGAGGGATCCTGCTCCTTGCCTGGTAAGGGCATGATGAAGAGTGGAGGAGATACTTATAGAAAGAGATGTGCTAGTGATAAATATGTAGAGGAGGAGACTGTGCCACCCACTGCATTGCAGGGTAGTACTGTAACCTCCATCATGCTGCTCATGTCACAGAATGGTTTGGCTTCAAAGGGACCTTAAAACTCATCCAGTTCCACCCCCCTGCCACAGGCAGGGACACCTTCACTAGAGCAGGTTGCTCCAAGCCCCATCTAACCTGGCCTTGAACTTATCTTCACTTATTTACAACTAGGAATAGTAACACTTACGTGCTGCCTTTAGTGTTAAAAGACTAGTTTTCTCTTACAAGCCCAGTTCCTCCCTCCCTTTCAAAGAGGAAAATATTTTGTCTGATACTTTCTTTCAAAAGAGACTTCACAGCAGTCTGACTATGACAAAACCTGGAGAGTTCTTTCTGTGCTACCAGGATACATTTCCTGCCATTATAGAGAGCTGTCTGGGTAAAGGAGTGAACTGCAGAGATGTCTCAGGCTGCAGCCTGCCATTTTTTTAGCTGGTAATATGCTATTAAGCCTATTTATGTAAAGATAGATTAGGTAGGATCACTGGAGTTGAAAATTCTATTTTCTCCTAATGAACTGGCTGTAGAAAGCTATCAAATCCCATTAAATTACTTAGTAGGAAATCTAGCTTGCATTCCCTTTCATTTCTGAAGATGAGTGAAATATGAGTTCTAGTCTGATTTTCAGACAGTATTCTCAAAAAACAGTGAGCTTTTTGTATAGCCTTTACTATGATCACCCAAAGTATTTCAAAATGTCCTTTTTCCCCCCTCTTGAACTTGTTTTACTTTGCCAGCAGGTTCAGCTGCTCTCTCATGGGAAACTACATACTGATTGTGAAAATTAAAGTAAACTTCAAGAAATTTCACTAAATGGGGCATGATCTTGGGGCTACATGTATTAAGATACCTGAAACAGAATTCATCATGAGATGAAAGTGAGTATGTCCTATTAGGAGTCTTTGTACTCCTTCTTTTCCCTATAATAGGCATGATTCCTTATGTAGAGTTCAGCAAATTGGTCCCGGGACCAATCAGCTTGGCAGGTAGGTGGAGAATAACTATTTATAGTCCTACCCAGAGAAACTGGTCTGACTTCATGTCTTTAACCATTTAACCTCCCTCTCCTCTTTCCCAAGTAAAGAATTGCTCAACATGGAGGAGTTTTCTTTGAAGGATCAAGGCAAAACCAGAGATACTGGTTGGCATGTGAAGCTTAAAGACAGTATGAGATCAAATGGAAGTGCAGTCAGAGAGAAATCTCTGAAAGAATCTTCCCTTTTGTTGATTTCAGTTTGCAGCAAATGGCAAATTCTGAGCAAATCTGTAAAGGTGAGAGGGAATCACTTGCAATGTTTCCATCCATGGCTTTCCAGCTCATGGTCTCGACCAACCAATGTTTGTTGTACATTGCAAATGAAAAGAAAATAGGCAAAACTCCTAGATCATTGAATGGTTCCCTCTGTTTAAATCTGGTTTCTTTCTGCTTTTAAAGATGAGCCATGCTGATCTCGAAGCACATGACCAAAGGGTCATCAGGTGCTTGCAAAAACTTGGAAAGGAATTTGAGGGCAAACTGCACAACAAGGTTTGGTTTTAGTACAGTGCTATGGGAAAACACTGTGCTTCAAGTTTCAATAACCCCTTCCTGTCCTCATGCACCTCTTCTGGGGGGAAGGGGACAGGGAACTGGGACGTTGTTGCTGGTTTTAATTTTCTTTTAAATTCAGTTTTACCAAACAGGTCAGACTGATACTGATTTGGTAAAAAGTTCTAAGGGCCACACTCCAGAATACTTTGGAAATCACCAGGTTTCACTCTTGTGTTAAATCATGCACCATGCCTTACACCCCTCCAGCTATTAACACAATCAAAAGCTCAGGCAGGTCAACAACTCCGTTCACTGAGGTTACTCATTCATTTCACTGCAGTCCCCAAACTGGAACCAACCACACACAACATTTCACTGCAGGTCTCTGTTAGCTGGGACTCTGCTAGCTTTCCCCTTTGGAAGGGCTTTGGGTCCATGATCAGCACACGTTTATCCCTTTACCTTGATGCTCTTGAGGTCTATTGCAGGTTGTTTGGGTGCTGCTGGTGCGGGTGCTGGTGCTGGCGCGGGTGCTGGTGCTGCGGCTGCTGCTGGCTTCTTTACGTCCTTCTTCGGTGCCATTTTGTGTTGCTTAAGCTTGAAAGTAAAGGTTCCCCCAAAAAAACCCTGCAAAACCCTTAAAAGTGATTCCTGGGAGAGGAGCAGCGGTCAGAATGAGCTACAGCCTGTGCCCTGGAGGTGGACCCAATGTGTTAAACTCTATAAGGGCATATATATATTTCACTTAGTGCCTCGTACAGTCCTGACACATCCAGCTGGATTGGACAGCTTGCTAATCAAGTGGGATGTCATTCCAGCTCGAGCTATAAATGGAATACAAGAGTTCAGGGCTTCATAAGATCAAGGGACTTCAGTGGCTTTTTTTCCCCCTCTTTAAAAACCCTAATCACCTCCCCTATGTGTATGTGTGTG